TTCACTTCGCCGGCCTCATCGCGCCGGATATACAGCGTCTTTGTCCGGTCGACGTGCACGCGGATCGGTACCTGCTTCAGGTTCAGGATGATGTCGGTGGCATCCTCCACCACTCCTGGAATCGGCGAGAATTCGTGCATCACGCCGTCGATCTTGACCGCCGTCACCGCGGCGCCCTCGATTGACGACAGCAGCACGCGCCGCAACGCGTTGCCGACCGTCGTGCCGAAACCTCGCGTTCAAATGGCTGTTGCGTTGAAGCGCCTCTACCGAATCGGTGAGTCTCCGCCTCGAACTCCAACCGCTTGGGTCGCTGGAAGTTTTTCCACAACATCGAGTTCTATCCTTTCAGCATTCCCTGGACTGCACTCACCCGAAATATCAGCAAGATCACTTGGAATAGAGCTCCACGATCAACTGCTCCTGCACCGGAAGGTTCAACTGCTCGCGCGTCGGCGCGGCTGTCAGGCTGCCCAACAGCTTCTCCCCATCCAGCTCCAGCCACTCCGGAATGCCGCGGCCCTTGACCTCCTCCATCGCATAGACGATGGCCGGGTTCTTCGCACTGGCGGGCCGGACCGCGATGACGTCGCCACGTCTCACGAAAACGACGGACGTTGGTATGCAGACCGGCCGTTTTAGCTTGAGTGGCGTGGCGCACGAGCTGTCCGCCTGGGCGCGCCGGGACGCGAAGCCGAGCCGGTACTACAAGCAACACGTTGTCCAGCCTCGCTCCTCCGATGCTGCAGCAGCTACTCTCGCCGGTTACTCGCCCTGTTCTGTCTGCCTGGTCCGCCTTCTCGAAATAGCGCCGGAACTGGCGCTCCAGCACGCCGTACATCCGGCGCACCTTCTGCTTCTCGCGCAGCTGCAGACCGTAGCCCCAGCAAGCGCGCGCGCCTGCCCTTGCCGTGCTGCCCGGGCGGCACGTTGCGCCGATCGACGGCGCACTTCTCGCCGTAGCACCGTTCCCCCTTGAGGAACAGCTTCATCCCCTCGCGCCGGCACAGCCGGCACACCGGACCCGCGTATCGCGCCATTTTCCCTCTGCCCTCTCAGACCCGCCGGCGCTTCGGCGGGCGACACCCGTTGTGCGGAATCGGGGTCACGTCCCGAATTGATTTCACTTCCATTCCGACCGACGTCTGCAGCGCCCGAATGGCCGACTCCCGGCCGGCGCCGGGCCCCTTGACCAGCACGTCGACCGATCGCACCCCGAACGTCTTCGCACCGTGCCCCGCGTTATCGCCGCCTGCGTCGCCGCAAACGGGGTGCCCTTGCGCGAGCCCTTGAAGCCGATGCCGCCCGCGCTAGACCAGGCCAGCACCTTGCCCTCGGCGTCGGCGATCGTGATGATGGTGTTGTTGAACGACGCTTGGATGTGCACCACGCCGTGGCGCACGACGCGCTTCTCGCCCCGCTTCTTGAAGGTCTTGCCGGTTTTCCGCCGCTTGCGCTTCGCGGGTGCCGACCCGGTTGCGCCGGCCGCATCGCTCTTGGCCATCAATATCCTCTTTCCGGGCTACTTCGTCTTCTTCTTCGCCACGGCACCCTTGCGGGGTCCCTTCCTGGTGCGTGCATTCGTATTCGTCCGCTGGCCCCGCACCGGCAGGTTGCGGCGATGGCGCAGCCCACGGTAACAACCGATCTCCATCAGCCGCTTGATGTTGACGGAGATTTCTTTGCGCAGGTCGCCCTCGACGCCGCCGTGCTCCTCGACGACACGGCCGATTTTCCGGACGTCGTCCTCGGTCAGATCCTTGACGCGGATGTTGCCGTCGACGCCCGCCGCCTGCAGCATGGTCGTCGCCCGCGCCGGGCCGATGCCGAAGATATAGGTCAACCCGACCTCGATCCGCTTCGTTCGTGGAAGATCTACGCCCGCAATTCGTGCCATGGCTCCGTTACCCCTGCCGCTGCTTATGCTTCGGATTGCTGCAGAGCACCCGCACCACCCCGCGGCGGCGGATGATCCTGCACTTGTCACACAGCTTGCGAACCGATGCTCGAACCTTCATACCATCCCCCAAACCGTCAATCGAGCCGGCTCAAAATGACCGGGCCGTCCTTCGACACCGCGACCGAGTGCTCGAAATGCGCGGAAAGGCTGCCATCCACGGTCACCGCCGTCCAACCGTCATCCAGCACCCGCACCGCCGGCCGGCCGGCGTTTACCATCGGCTCGATGGCCAGCACCATGCCTTCCTTGAGAAACGGACCGCGGCCCGGCTTGCCGTAGTTCGGAATCTGCGGCTCTTCGTGCAGCCGGGTCCCGATGCCGTGCCCGACGAACTCCCGGACCACCGAGAATCCGCAAGACTCGACATGATTCTGGACGGCATGGCCGAGATCCGAAACGCGCCCCCCGACGCGCGCGCAGTCGATCGCCAGATTCAGGGCGGCGCGCGTGACCGCCAGCAACTCGGCCGCCTCGTCCGAGATCGCGCCGACGCCCACCGTCAGGGCGGCGTCGCCGTAGTACCCGTCGAGGACTACGCCCATGTCGAGCGACACGATGTCGCCCTCCACCAGCTCGCGCGGGGACGGAATGCCGTGCACCACGGCATCGTTGATCGAGACGCACAACGTGGCGGGGTACCCATGATACCCCTTGAAGGCCGGGACGGCACCCGCTGCGCGTACCCGCGTCTCCGCAACCGTATCCAGTTCCTGCGCCGTCACCCCCGGCTTGACCGTCGCCTGCAACTCGCTGAGCACGCCGGCGACGAGCGCGTTGGCCGCGCGCATCTTCTCGACTTCCTCCGGCGACTTGTAAACGATCATCTGGCCAAGCCTCTCACACCGCTGGCGACGACCGGACGCGCATGGCCGCCTGCGCGGCATCGATCGCGTCGGCGATGGCGATCCGCACCGCAGCGGCCGGTTGATTCCCGTCCACGCGCCGGAAACTCGGGCGATCCCGGTAGAACACCACCAGCGGCTCGGTCTGCTCGCTATACACCCGGAGCCGTTCCCGCACGACCTCCTCGCGATCGTCCTTGCGCGCTATCAGCGCTGCGCCGCAGCGCGTGCACACAGTCGGGACCTCCCCGCCGGCTCCGGCGCCGTAGGTCGCCCCGCAATCACGGCATACGCGGCGGCGCGAGAGCCGTTGCACCAGCGGCTGATCCGGCACGCTCAACTCGACGACGATCAGCGGGTCGCGGCCGGCCAGGATCTGGTCGAGCGCTTCTGCCTGCGCGACGGTGCGTGGGAATCCGTCCAGGATGAAGCCGTCCCGCGTATCGTCGCGCGCCAGACGCTCGCGCACGATCTCGACGATCAGCGCATCGCTGACCAACTCGCCGCGCTCCATGACTGCCTGCGCCTGCCGTCCGAGGTCGGTTCCCGCCTTGACCGCTTCGCGCAGGATGTCCCCGGTCGATATCTGCGGGATGCCGCGCTCCTGCTCGACACGCACCGCCTGCGTCCCCTTGCCGGCCCCCGGCGGACCGAGCATCACCAGATTCAGCGCCATCGCTTGTCGCCCACCTATCCGCGGCGGCCCTTGATACGGGTCTTCTTCATGAAACCGTCGTAGTGCCGCATGATCAACTGGGACTCGACCTGCTGCACCGTGTCCATCGAAACCCCGACGATAATCAGCAGCGAAGTCCCGCCGAAGTAGAACGTCACGCCCATGCCGTCCGTAATGAACCGGGGCAGCAGCGTGTCGAGCTGGTCGCCGATTAACGGCACCGCATCGGCCGGAAGCCTGCTATCAGCAATCGGGCAGCACCGCGACCAGCGCCAGATAGATCGATCCGACCAGCGTGATCCGGGTCAGGATGGTATCGATATGCTCGGCGTCCGCTTGCCGGGCCGGATGCCGGGGATGACCCGCCATACTTCCGCATGTTCTCCGCACGTCGTCCGGTTGAGATGATCGCGGTGTAGAAGAGGCGAAGAGATGATGCCCGCCATGTACAGCAGGTAGTACAGCGGCATCCCGTTCCGGAGCTGATCGGTATCGCCTGCCCCCAGCCGCCCGCGGGAACGCAGTGGCGATCGTCGCGGGAAACGCGATGATCGAGGAGGCGAAAATGACCGGAATCACACCGCCGTATTAACCTTCAACGGAATGTGCGTGCTGCTGCGCCGCCGTACACTGCGCCGCCCACCATCCCTTGCGTACTGCACGTGACGCGCCGGTGCCCGCGCTCGATGAACACGACCGCCCCCACGGAGGATCATCACCGTCAGCAGGAGCAGGACACGGATGAGGCCCATCTGCCCGGTCCGCATCTGGTCGAGCGTCGTCAGCACGGCGGTCGGCAGGCCGACAACGATGCCGGCGAAGATGATCAGCGACATCCCGTTGCCGACGCCCCGTTCCGTGATCTGCTCGCCCAGCCACATGATGAACCCGGTGCCGGTTGTCAGCGTCAGGACCGTCATGAAGCGGAAAGCCCAGCCCGGCTCGTAGACGAGCGGCAGGCCGCCGGCGATGTTCGTCTGGCGCTCGAGGAAGATCGCGATGGCCATCGCCTGCACTACGCACAGCAGGATGGTGCCGTAGCGCGTGTACTGGGTGATCTTGCGCCGCCCCAGCTCGCCCTCCTTGGAGAGCCGTTCCAGATACGGCCAGACAACCGTGAGCAACTGGAGAATGATGGACGCGCTGATGTAGGGCATGATGCCCAGCGCGAATATCGTGACCTGCGACAGGTTGCCGCCGGAGAACATGTCGTACAGGCCGAACATCGTTCCCGCCGCCTGTTCCGCGAGCAGCGCGAGCGCCTCGGTATTCACGCCCGGCGTCGGAATGTGACTCCCGACGCGATAGACCGCGAGGATGGCGAGCGTGAATAGCACGCGCCGGCGCAGATCCGGAATCGCGAAGATGTTCCTGATGTTTTCGAACATCCGGCGGACTACCCTCCCGCACCGGCCGCCAGCACCTCGGCCCGGCCACCGGCGGCAGCGATTGCCTTGCTTGCTTGCGCGCTGAAGCGGTGCGCCTTCACGATCAGCTTCTTCGACAGCTCGCCGCGCGCCAGCACCTTGACCAGGGCCCGGGACTTGCGCACGATGCGGTGCTCGCGGAGCAACTCCGGTGTCACCTCGGCGCCTTCATCGAACCGCTCGGACAGCGTGTCGAGGTTGACCACGGCGTATTCCACGCGAAACGGGTTGTGGAACCCGCGCTTCGGCACACGCCGGTGCAGCGGCATCTGGCCGCCCTCGAACCCGCGCTTGCGCTTGAACCCGGAACGCGATTTGGCGCCCTTGTGCCCGCGGCCGGACGTCACGCCGGTTCCGGAGCCCTCGCCGCGGCCCACACGCTTTTTCTTGCGCCGCGCGCCTTCCGGTGGATGCAGGTTGCTGAGATCCATGATTTCCTATCCGACGCGCACGAGATGGCGAACCTTGTGCAGCATGCCGCGGATGGACGGGTTGTCGACGACGTCCAGGGAATGGCCGATGCGCCGCAGTCCGAGTCCCTTCACCACGAGCGCCTGCCGCTTGTTGTAGCCGATCGGGCTGCGCACGAGGGTCACCTTGACGCGCGGCGCCGTCTCGTTTCGCTGGGCGCGTCTCATGATTCACCCGTCCCCCGCCCCGGCACCGCCGTCTCGCCGCCGACCAGCGACAGATCGACGCCGCGCAGGCGGGCAACCGTCACCGGGTCCTTCAGTTCCGACAGGCCTACGAAGGTGGCGCGCACCACATTGTGCGGGTTGTCGGAGCCGAGCGACTTGGTCAGGGATGTTGTGTATGCCGGCCGCCTCCACAACCGCCCGCACGGCGCCGCCGGCGATGATGCCGGTCCCCTCGGGCGCCGGCTTCAACAGTACGCTCCCGGCGCCGAATCGACCCACGATCGTATGCGGGATGGTCGTCCCCTGCAGCGGAACGCGCACGAGCGTCTTCTTGGCCGCCTCGATCCCCTTCTTGATGGCCGACGGCACTTCCTTGGCCTTGCCGACCGCAAAGCCGACATGCCCGAACCCGTCGCCAACGACGACCAGCGCGCTGAAGCTCAGGTTCTTGCCGCCCTTGACCACCTTGGTAACCCGGTTGATCGACACGACCGTATCCTTCAGGTCGAGCATGGAGGTATCGATCTTCGGTCGTGACTCATTCATGCCTAGAACTCCAGGCCGGCGTCGCGCGCGGCCTCGGCTACCCGGCGTACACGCCCGTGGTACAGGCGGCCACCGCGGTCGAATACGGCCTGTTTGACACCCTGTTCGAGCAGCCGCTCCGCGGCGACGCGGCCAACGACCCAGGCGCCGGCTACGTTGCTGCCTCGCGCGCCGTTCTCGAATTTGGCGCTTACGCTCGCCTCTTGGCTCGACGCGGCCACCAGCGTCCGGCCGGCCTGATCGTCAATCAACTGCACGGAGATGTGCGCCAGACTTCTGGAAACGGCAAGCCGCGGGCGCATGGCGGTCCCACCGATCCGCTGGCGCTGCCGCAGCCGGATCCGGTTGCGGCGATCCTTCTTGGTCTTGATCTTCATCGGCTATGCCCCGGTCTTGCCGACCTTCTTCTTGAGCACCTCACCCGTATAGCGGATCCCCTTCTGCTTGTACGGATCCGGCTTGCGAAGCGCCCGAATGTCAGCCGCGACCTGGCCGACCCGTTGCCGGTCGATACCGGCCACGGTAATGTGATTCTGCTTGTCGACCGCAATCTGGATGCCGTCCGGGATGGCGAACGGCACGGGATGCGAGTACCCGAGGTGGAAGACAACCTGTGATGCCGACACCTCCGCGCGGTATCCGATGCCGACGATGTCGAGTTCCTTCGTGAACCCCTGGGACACGCCGTGCACGGCGTTCGCCACGAGGCTCCTGGCCAGACCGTGAAACTTGCTCGACGAGCGGTCGGACGGCTGCGCCGGCTGCGCCGACAGCTGCTTCCCCGCCTCCTCGAACAGAATCCCTGTGGGGAATCGGCTGCCGGAGCGAACCCTTGGGCCCCCGCACCTCGACCGCACCCTCGGCGACCGCACGGTCACGCCGTCGGGCACGGAATCGGCAGCCTGCCTACGCGCGACATGTCCTCACCACGCCCGTCGCCGGTGCTCTACCAGACATTGCACAACACCTCGCCACCCACGCCAACCTTCGCGGCGTCGCGACCGGTCATGACACCCCGCGCAGTCGTCAGGATGCTCGTCCCCAAGCCGGCCAGCACGGGTGGGGCCTTGTCCCGCGCGAAGTACACCCGGCGACCCGGACGGCTCACGCGCTCGAGTCCCGACAGCACGCGCTGGCCGCGGGGGCCGTACTTCAGAGCGATGCGGATCATCTTCCTCGGCTGTGTCCCACGCCGACCCGGCACCTCGACGACCTTGAACCCCTGAACATATCCTTCGCTCTGGAGGATTCGCGAGATCTCGAGCTTGAGTCTCGAGGCCGGCACGTCAACACGCGCCTGTCGGACGGATGTCGCGTTACGTATCCTCGAAAGCATGTCAGCAATCTGATCAGGCATCAGCCTCGACCTCTCCCGTCTCACCTTCTCACACACCCCCGCCACCGCCGCGGCCCGCGCTGTCGCGGGCCGCCCGGCGACTTACCAGCTGCTCTTCGTCACGCCCGCAATCTCGCCCTCGAGAGCCAGCTTGCGGAAACAAAGACGGCACAACTGGAACTTGCGGAGGTAGCCGCGCGGCCGGCCGCACCGCCGGCAACGATTCCGCGCGCGAACCTTGAATTTCGGCGGCTTGAGCTCTTTGACTTTCTTTGCAATTGTCGACATCGGCAACTGTCACCCGGCGGCCGCGCTGGCCGCGCAACGGCTCACTGGCTCGCCCGGAAGGGCATCCCCAGGAGCTTCAGTCAACATCCTCCCCTCATCGTCCGTCATGGCCGTCGTCACGACGCAGATGTTCATTCCACGAGACTGGTCGACCTTCATGTAGTCGATTTCCAAAAAATCAGCTGGTCGCGGAGCCCCAACGTGTAGTTCCCGCGGCCGTCGAAACCGTTCGGCGAAATGCCGCGGAAGTCCCGCACGCGCGGCAGGGCAATCGAGATCAGACGGTCGAGAAACTCGTACATCCGCTCGCCGCGCAACGTCACCATCGTTCCGATGGCCATCCCCTGCCGCAGCTTGAAGGCCGCAACCGACTTGCGGGCTCTGGTGGTTACCGGCTTCTGTCCGGTGATCCGCATCAACTCGTCGGCGCCCGCCTCGATCAGCTTCGGGTTCTGCGTGGCTTCGCCCAGCCCCATGTTGACCACGACCCGTTCGAGCTTCGGCACCGCCATGACGCTCGTGTACCCGAACTCCTTGCGGAGCGACGGGACCACGGTGTCACCATAACGTTCCTGCAGCCGGTTCACTTGTCCACCGCTCCGTCGCATTTGCGGCAAATGCGTATCTTGCGCCCGTCACCCAGCAACTGATGTCCGATCCGCGTCGGCGCGCCGCACTCCGGGCAGATGATCTGCACGTTCGACGCGTGCACGGTGCCTTCCCGCTCGACGACGCCGCCCTTGATGTTGCGCTGCGGGTTCGGCCGGGTGTGGCGCTTGATGAAGTTCACGCCCTCGACCACCAGGCGGTTCCGGGCCGGCACCACTTTCAGCACGCGGCCGCGCTTGCCGCGGTCCTTGCCCGTGACAACCACCACGTTGTCGTTCTTGCGAACCGGAGTCTGAAGTCTGGACATGTCGTCGAAATCCGAATCGCGGCGCTTACAGCACCTCGGGCGCCAGCGAGATGATCTTCATGAACTTCCGCTCGCGCAATTCGCGGGCGACGGGACCGAACACGCGGGTCCCGATCGGCTCGTTCTGATCGTCGACCAGCACCGCGGCGTTGCGGTCGAACCGAATGTAGCTGCCGTCCCGCCGGCGATGCTCCTTGTGCGTCCGGACGATGACGGCCTTCACCACCTGACCCTTCTTGACGGCCGAGGCGGGCGTCGCCTCCTTGACGGAGGCGGTCACGACATCCCCAAGTCGCGCGAAACGGCCGGTCGAACCGCCGACCGGATTGATCACGGCAATCTTCCGGGCGCCGGAATTGTCGGCAACGTCCAGCACGGACTGCATCTGAATCATGGCGCGTCCGTCCTATCAAACAATGCGGGCCCGCTCGACAACGCGGCTGACGACGAACCGCTTGCGGCGGCTGAGCGGCCGCGATTCGACGAGCGCGACGCGGTCGCCCACGTGCGCGCTGTTGGCTTCGTCATGGGCCATGAACCGGGTCGTCAGCCGCCGGATCTTGCCGTATACCGCACTGCGCACGCGGCGCTCGACGGCGACGATGACCCCCTTGTCCAGCTTGTCCCGGATCACCAGGCCGATCATTTCCCGCTTGTTGGCCATCGTTTCGTCTTCCCCGCCCGCTCTTGTCCGTCAGCGACTCTTCGCAGCGTCCGCCAGCTCCCGCTCCCGCAGCAGCGTCATCACGCGCGCCCGATCGCGGCGCAACTGCCGCATCTTGTTTGCGGCATCCGTCTGTCCCATCGACTTCTGGATACGCAGGCGAAACACCTGATCGTCGAGCTCTCCCCTGCGCTGCCGGAGATCCTCGACGCCCAGCTCCCGCAGCTCGCTGATGTCCGTCATACGCTGCGGGCCGCACCGAACCGGGTAGCGAACTTCGTGTGTATCGGCAGCTTGGCCGCCGCCAGACGCATCGCGCGTTCCGCCATCTCCGCACTCACGCCTTCCATCTCGAACAGAAATCTTTCCAGGCCGCACGACCGCGACCCACTGCTCCGGCGCGCCCTTGCCCTTGCCCATCCGGGTCTCCTGGGGCTTCTTGGTGATCGGCTTGTCCGGAAACACACGCACCCAGATCTTGCCGCCGCGCTTGATGAAGCGCGTCATCGCGACACGGGCAGCCTCAATCTGGCGATCGGTGATCCAGTGGGCCTCGAGGGCCTTCAAGCCGTAGTCTCCGAACGCAACGGTCGAGCCGCGCCATGCCTTGCCGGCCATGCGCCCCCGGTGCTGCTTCCGATGCTTGACCTTCTTCGGCATCAACATGATGGATTTCTCCTTCGCGCTACGCGCGGGCCATGCGCGGCGTCCGGTACTCCTCCTCGCGGCCGGTCTGCGGCTCGAGGCGCTCGCCCTTGTAGAGCCAGACCTTCACACCGATGACGCCGTAGGTGGTGCGCGCCTCCCAGAAGCCGTAGTCGATGTCCGCGCGCAACGTCTGCAGAGGCAGCTGACCATGCAGGTACCACTCGGACCGCGCGATCTCGGCGCCGTTGAGGCGCCCGCCGACCCGCACCTTGATGCCGCGTGCGCCGAACCGTAGCGCCGACTCGACCGCCTTGCGCATGGCGCGCCGGAACGCGACGCGCTTCTCCAGCTGCAACGCGACCGACTCGCTGATCAGCTGCGCATCCAGCTCCGGCTTCTGGATCTCCTGGATGTTGATGAAGACCTCGCGGCTCGTGCGCTTCTGGATGTCGGTCTTCAGCTTCTCGACCTCCGTCCCCTTGCGGCCGATGATGATGCCCGGCCGCGACGTGTGGATGTCGAGCTTGAGCTTGTTGGCGGCGCGTTCGATATCGATCTTCGATACGCCGGCATGGGCAAAGCGTTTCTTGAGATCGGCGCGCAAGCCAAGGTCCTCGTGCAGCAGCGCGGCGTAGTCACGATCCGCGTACCACCGCGAGCGCCACGTCTTGTTGAACCCGAGTCGAAACCCGTACGGGTGAACCTTCTGTCCCATGCCCAGTACCTGTCCGTTCCTCTCAGCGTCCGGAGCGCCCGCGGCGCCGGCGCCGGGGTGTGCGGCCACCTGCCGCAGTAGCGCTCTTCTCCGCGGGCCCAGCGGCCGTCTTGTCGGACGCTTCCGCAGCGACCGCGGTCACCGCTTCCGGCTGTTCCTGCACGCTCACCGTCAGATGCGACGTCCGCTTGGTGATGCGAAACGCGCGCCCCATCGCCGCCGGACGGATCCGCTTGAGCGAAGGCCCCTGGTTGGCATAGCACTCGTCAACCCACAGCCTGTCGGTGTCGCCGCTGGCGCCCTCCCGCTGTTGCAGGTTGGCGACCGCCGAGCGGAGCACCTTCAGTATGTCCCTGGCAACACTCTTCCGCGTGAACCGCAGGACGGCCAGCGCCTCGTCGACCATGCGCCCGCGGATGAGATCCATGACGAGCTTTGCCTTCTGGGCCGACGTCCGGACGTAGCGCGCCGTTGCCCGGCCTTCCATCACCGACCGCCCCTGGCGACGCCCGCAACCTTCTCACCACGGCCGGTATGGCCGCGGAAGGTGCGGGTCGGCGAAAATTCCCCAAGCTTGTGCCCCACCATGTTCTCGCTGATGTAGATCGGCACGAACTTCTTTCCGTTGTGCACCGCAAGCGTGTGGCCGATCATCTCCGGCACCACCGTCGACCGCCGCGACCAGGTCTTGACAACCCTGCGCTCGTTGTTCCGATTCATCACCTCGATCTTCTCGAGGAGCGGTATGTCGACGAACGGGCCCTTCTTGAGCGATCGACTCATCGAAACAGATCTCCAACCTTACTTCGAGCGCTTACGCTTCTTCCGCTGCAGGATGTACTTGTCCGACAGCTTCCGCCGGCGGGTCTTGAAGCCCTTGGCCGGCTGCCCCCAGGGCGATACCGGATGCCGTCCGCCGGCGGCATGGCCCTCGCCGCCCCCCAGCGGATGGTCAACCGGATTCATCGAATTGCCGCAGACGTGCGGCCGCTTGCCTAGCCAGCGGTTCCGCCCCGCCTTGCCGATGGACACGTTCCCATGGTCAACGTTGCCGACCCGCCCGACGGTCGCCAGATTGCCGCGGGCCACCAGGCGGGTCTCGCCGGACGGCAGCCTGACCGTCACGTACTTGGCGTCCTTGGCCACCACCTGAACCGCCGACCCGGCGCTGCGCGCAATCTGCCCGCCCTTGCCCGGGCGGAGCTCCACGTTGTGCACCATCGTGCCCAGCGGGATGTTCCCGAGCGGGATGGCGTTGCCCGGCACGATGTCCGCTTTCTCGCTCGCCACGATGGTGTCACCGACCTTCAGGCCCACCGGATGCAGGATGTAACGTTTCTCGCCGTCCGCGTACGTCACGAGCGAGATTCGCGCCGAGCGGTTCGGGTCGTACTCGATGGTCGTCACCTTCGCCGGCACGTCCCGCTTGTCGCGCCGGAAATCGATGATGCGGTAGGCGCGCTTGTGTCCGCCCCCACGCCACCACAACGTCACCTCGCCCCGGTTGTTCCGCCCGCCGGACTTCTTGAGCGCCTCGGTGAGCGGCCGGTACGGCCGGTCAGTCGTGATCTCGTCGAAGTCGTGTGCGGACTGGAACCGCCGGCCCGCCGATGTCGGCTTGTACTTGCGCGTAGCCATCGTTTCTAAGAGCCCTCGAGGAACTCCGGCAGCTTCTCTCCCGGCTTCAGGCGGACATACGCCTTCTTCCAGTCCGGCCGCTGCCCCACGAAACGGCCCTGCCGCTTCATCTTGCCGTGGGCGATCGCGGTCCGAACGGCCGCCACCTTCACCCCGAACAGGTGCTCGACCGCCCGCTTGACATCCACCTTCGTCGCCGCCATGGCGACCTCGAACAGCAGGATCTGCCGGTCCTCCATCAGCCCCGAGGATTTCTCGGTCACGATGGCCCGCCGGATGATGTCGGTCTGCTTCACGATGCCAACACCTTCTCGAGATGCTCCACCGCGGCCGGCGTCATGAGAATCCGGGCGGCGGCCGCTACGTCCCGGGCGGTCACCTGATTGGAATCGACGACCCGCACCTTCGACAGGTTCTGCACCGCCCGCTTGAGGTGCTCCCCGGATTTCGTATCGACCAGCAGCGCACGACCCGCCACGTCGAACCGCGCCAGCAACTCCACCGCCTGACTGGTTTTCGGTTCGTCCACGGACAACTCATCGACCACGGTCACGGCGCCGTCGCGCAGCTTCTGGACCAGTGCGGCCCGCAGGGCGCGGCGCACCACTTTCTTCGGCAACGGGTAGGCGTAGCTGCGCGGCCGCGGGCCGAACACCGTGCCGCCCGTCCGCCACAGCGGATTGCGGATCTCCCCGACGCGCGCGCGGCCGGTACCCTTCTGCCGCCACGGCTTCCTGCCGGAGCCGCGTACCTCTCCGCGCGTCTTCGTGCCGTGTGTACCGCGCCGCGCAGCCGCGTTCTCCTGCACCACTGATTCCCACACCAGCCCGATGTCGGCCCGGCCGCCGAAAGTCTCCTCGCCGAGATCGATCGAGCCGACCTTTTCGTCTGCCGGTTGACTACGTCCAACGTCATCTGCAATTCCCGCCTGTCCGGCGACCGTCAACGCCCTGCCGGAATCATTTGCGCCGCTGCTTCGCCTTGGCCGTGTCCTGCACGGCGACCACCGGCTCGCGCCGCGGCGCCACCGCGCGCCGAATGAGCACGTGCCCACCCGGCGCCCCCGGCACGGCGCCCATCACGACCAACCGGTTATTCTCGACATCTACCTGGATAATGCGCAGATTGCGTACCGTCACGCGGTCTCCGCCCATGCGGCCCGGTCCTCGCATCCCCTTGATGACGCGCGACGGATAGGACGACTGTCCGATAGAACCGGGTGCACGGTGAAACATCGACCCGTGGGTGGCCCGGCCGCCGGCGAAGCCGTGGCGCTTGACGACCCCTTGAAACCCGCGGCCGCGGCTCTCGCCGACCACATCCACCTGATCCCCGGCGGCGAATAGCGACACGCGCACCTGCTCGCCGTCCTGTGGCACGTCGCCCGACTGGGCATCGACTACGGCGACCTCCCGGATGCCGCTGAGGCGGACCTTGTCCGTCTCCACGCCCGACCGGCGGTAGTGACCCGCAAGCGGCTTTGAAACCCGCGCCGGGCGGTCTTCGACGAGGCCGAGCTGCACTGCGTCGTACCCGTCCCTATCGACCGTCTTGCGCTGCACCACAACGCAGGGGCCGGCGGCGAGAACCGTCGCCGGCAGCGCGGTCCCCTTGTCGTCGAACACCTGGGTCATCCCGATCTTGCGTCCGATAATCCCGGTCACCATGACTGTGTTCCGCAACGGCGCGGTTAGCCGTGTTCCTTTCCGAACGCCTTGATCTCGACGTCGACGCCTGCCGGCAGGTCGAGCTTCATCAATGCATCGACCGTCTGCGGCGTCGGCTCGAAAATGTCGATCAGCCGCTTGTGCGTCCGAATCTCGAACTGCTCTCGCGACTTCTTGTCGACGTGCGGCGACCGCAGCACCGTCCACTTGTTCGTGTCCGTCGGCAGCGGGATCGGACCGGCAAGCCGGGCCCCCGTGCGCCGGGCGGTATCGACGATTTCGGTCGTCGACTGGTCCAGCACGCGATAGTCGTACGCCCTGAGGCGGATACGAATCTTGTCGCTGAACGTCGCCATCTCGTCTCTCTTCCTGAGCTCCGGCGTCCGGTTACTCGATGATTTCGGTGATCGTCCCCGAGCCTACCGTCCGCCCGCCTTCGCGAATCGCGAACCGCAGCCCCTTCTCCAGCGCCACCGGCGTTATCAGCTCCACGCTGATCGCCACGTTGTCGCCGGGCATCACCATCTCCACGCCGTCGGGCAACGTCGCCACCCCCGTCACGTCCGTCGTGCGCAGGTAGAACTGCGGGCCGATACCCGTTGAAGAACGGCGTGTGCCGGCCACCCTCGTCCTTCGTCAGCACATACACCTCGCCGCGGAACTTCGTGTGCGGCGTGATCGACTTCGGATTCGCCAACACCTGCCCGCGCTCCACGTCGTCCTTCTCCGTGCCGCGCAGCAGCACCCCGATGTTGTCGCCCGCTTCCCCCGCATCGAGCAGCTTCCGGAACATCTCAACGCCCGTCACCACCTTCTTCTGCGTCGGGCTGAAGCCCACTATCTCGATCTCCTCGCCGACCGTCACCTTCCCGCGCTCCACGCGGCCCGTCACCACCGTCCCGCGGCCCAAAATCGAAAACACATCCTCGATCGGCATCAGAAACGGCTTGTCCACATCCCGCTCAGGAAGCGGAACATACGAGTCCACCGCCGCCATCAGCTCCCGGATAGACGCCTCCGCCGCGGTGTCCCCCTCGAGCGCCTGCAGCGCAGAACCCTGGATCACCGGCAGGTCGTCGCCGGGAAACTCATACGAACTCAGCAGCTCCCGAACCTCCAGCTCGACCAGCTCCAACAGCTCCGGGTCGTCCACCGCGTCACACTTGTTCAGAAACACCACCAGCGACGGAACCCCAACCTGGCGCGCCAGAAGAATGTGCTCCCGGGTCTGCGGCATCGGGCCGTCCGTCGCCGCAACCACCAGAATCGCGCCGTCCATCTGCGCCGCGCCCGTGATCATGTTCTTGATGTAGTCCGCGTGGCCAGGACAGTCCACGTGCGCGTAGTGCCGGTTCTCCGTCTGATACTCCACGTGCGCCGTCGCGATCGTGATCCCGCGCTCGCGCTCTTCCGGCGCGTTGTCGATCGAGTCGAAGCTCCGTATCTCGTTCTTCTTGTCGTTCTTCGCCAACACCGACGTGATCGCCGCCGTCAGTGTCGTCTTCCCGTGATCAATGTGTCCGATCGTGCCGATGTTCACGTGCGGCTTCGACCGATCAAATTTCTCTTTCGCCATCTGTTACGCCCCTCATCTTCCCTGAATCTTCGCCACAATCTCTTCGCCGACCTGCTGCGGCACCTGCTCGTATCGTTCGAAGTGCATGGAAAATGTCGCGCGTCCCTGCGTCCGCGACCGGAGGTCCGTGGCGTACCCGAACATCTCCGCCAGCGGGACGCGTGCGTTGATTATCTGCGTGCCGCCGTGCGCCTCCATCGACCGGACGCGGCCGCGCCGGCCGTTCAGGTCGGAGATGATGTCGCCCATGTACTCCTCGGGCACCACCACTTCGAGGCGCATGCTCGGCTCCAGCAGCACGGCGCCCGCCTTGCGGGCGGCCGCGCGCAACGCCATTGAACCCGCCATCCTGAACGCCATTTCCGACGAGTCGACTTGGTGGTATGACCCGTCATACAGCGACACGCTGACGTCCTCGATCGGATAACCGGCCAGGATGCCGGTGGTCATCGCGTCCTGGATTCCCTCGCGCACCGACTTGATGTAGTCGCGCGGAATCGCGCCGCCCGACGATGTCATTGGAGAATTCGAAGCCATGCCCGGGCTGGGTGGGCACCACGCGGATCTTCACGTGGCCGTACTGCCCGCGTCCGCCGGTCTGCTTGACGTAGCGCGCGTCGCTCTCGGCGGGACGGGTCAAGGTCTCGCGGTACGCCACCTGCGGCCGGCCGACGCCGGCGATCACACCGAACTCGCGCCGCAGCCGATCGACGAGCACCTCCAGGTGCAGCTCGCCCATCCCGGAGATGACCACCTGTCCCGTCTGGTCGTCGGTCTGGACGCGGAAAGTCGGATCTTCAACGGTCAATCGGGCCAGCGCCGTCGCCAGCTTCTCCTGGTCCGATTCGGTCTCGGGCTCGATCGCCAGCGAGACCACCGGGCTGGGGAACTCCATCGACTCGAGCACGACCGGGACTGCTGATCGCAGATCGTGTCGCCGGTGCCGACGCTCTTCAGGCCGACCGCGGCGGCGATGTCGCCAGCGTACACCTGCCGGATCTCCTCGCGCTTGTTGGCGTGCATCTTGAGCAGGCGGCCTACCCGCTCCCGGCGGCCCCGCACCGGATTGAAGACGGACGCGCCCGACTTCATCACGCCGGAGTAGACGCGGATGAACGTCAGCTGCCCGACGAACGGGTCGGTCATGATCTTGAACGCCAGCGCCGAGAACGGGGCGTCGTCGTCGGCCGGGCGCTCGACCCTCACTTCGTCCGGCTTGCGCGGATCGAGCCCGCTGATGGGGGACACGTCGCCCGGCGACGGCAGGTAGTCGACCACGGCATCGAGGAGCGGTTGCACGCCCTTGTTCTTGAAGGCCGAACCGCACAGCACAGGCACGAACGGCGCCTCGCCGCCGCGGACCGACTCGACCACGCGGCGCCGTAGGGTGGCGCGGATCTCCTCTTCCAGGATCGGCTCGCCGTGGAGGTACTTGTCGAGGATCTCGTCGCTGGCCTCGCTCACCTTTTCGATGAGGAGCTCGCGGAGACTATCGGCCCTCCTCCCGGCACGCTTCCGGAATCTCTTCGAGCACGGACTCGGCCCCAAGCGTGTCGTCCACGGAGCGGATGGCCTTCATGCTTACCAGGTCGACCACGCCGACGAAGCCGTCAGCGGAGTCGATCGGCATCTGCACCGCTACCGGGTTGGCCTGCAGCTTGTTGCGGATCTGGTCGATCGTCCCCGCGAAATCCGCCCCTACGCGGTCCATCTTGTTGACGAAGCAGATGCGGGGCACGGCGTACTTGTCCGCCTGCCGCCAGACCGTTTCGGACTGCGGTTCGACACCGCCGACGGCGTCGAACACGGCTACCGCACCGTCCAGCACACGGAGTGACCGCTCGACCTCGGCCGTGAAGTCGACATGTCCCGGGGTGTCGATGATATTGATCCGGTGGTTGCGCCAGAAGCAGGTGGTGGCTGCGGACGTGATGGTGATGCCGCGCTCCTGCTCCTGCGCCATCCAGTCCATGACGGCCGTGCCGTCGTGCACCTCGCCCAGCTTGTACGTGATGCCGGTGTAGTAGAGAATGCGCTCGGTGGTCGTCGTCTTCCCGGCATCGATATGCGCCATGATGCCTATGTTCCGATTGCGACCGAGCGGGACTTGCCTGGGCATGACTCGAGACTTCTGCGCGGAGCCGTCGGCACCCGCAGCCTTCTTCGATTTCAGTACTGCGACCGTCACCGTGAGTTACCTGCCAGCGCCTTTACCACCGGTAACGGGCGAAGGCCCCAGGCTGGCCCCTCAGGCCAGCCGTACTGGGAAATGCCGGCCTCCGCCACGGACGCCAATAAAGCCGTTCTCATATTCGCTACCACCGGTAGTGAGCGAAGGCCCCAGGCTGGCCCCTCAGGCCAGCCGTACTGGGAAATGCCGGCCTCCGCCACGGAGGCCAATAAAGCCGTTCTCATATTCGCTACCACCGGTAATGAGCGAAGGCTTTATTGGCCTCCGCCATGCGGTGGGTGTCTTCGCGCTTCTTGACCGATCCGCCTCGCAGATTGGAGGCGTCGATCAACTCGTTCGCCAACTTGTCGCACATCGTCTTGCCGTCGCCCCGCTTGCGCGCCGACGAGGTCAACCAGCGGATGCTGAGCGACAAGCGGCGATTCTGATTCACTTCCACCGGCACCTGGTAGTTCGAGCCGCCCACGCGGCGCGACTTCACTTCAAGGCTCGGCTTCGTGTTGTCGATTGCCTTCTTGAACACCTTGAGCGGATCGTCTCCCGTCCGTCCTTGATGACATCGAGGCTGCCATACACGATGCCTTCGGCGACGCTGCGCTTGCCGCCCTTCATGATCGTTCGGACGAACTTGGTCACCAACGTGCTGCCGTGAATCGGATCAGGCGGTACTGCGCGTTTCGGAACTTCTCGTCGCCGCGGCATCTGTCGTTCCTATCCCTCGTGGCCGCAGATCGGGCAGCCTCGGTTCGTCACGCCTTGGGCCGCTTCGCGCCGTACTTCGAGCGCGACTGCTTGCGCCCCTGCACACCAACGGCGTCCAGCGTCCCCGTATGACGTGGTAGCGCACGCCGGGGAGATCCTTCACACGCCCGCCGCGAATCAGCACCAGCGAGTGCTCCTGCAGGTTGTGGCCCTCCCCAGGGATGTAGCTCGTAACCTCGATACCATTGGTCAGACGCACACGCGCCACCTTGCGCAAGGCCGAATTTGGCTTCTTCGGCGTCTGCGTGAAGACCCGGACGCAGACTCCGCGCTTCTGCGGGCACTGCTGGAGCGCTGGACTCTTCGTCTTGTTGAGCATGGGGACCCGCCCCTTGCGCACAAGCTGGCTGATCGTCGGCAATACAACTCCTCCGGCCCCGCGTGATGCAACACGCGTAAGCGGTGAACGTCTGTGGCCCAGGCCTAAAAGCCGATAGCGGCTTGGCGCCCGCGGCCGGTCAAGCCTATTTCTGTATGCTCGTCGAGCAGGCACGCCCAGCCACCGGCGGGATCGCGCCTGAATGCAGCGAGGCGTCCACAACCACCACCAGGATCACGCGACGGCGGCCAGCGCCTCCCCACCGGACAGGTCGGAGCAGAACGGGGGCCGTTCGACTCCTACGAAACCTGCGAACGATATCATATTACCCTGACGCGGGCAACGCTGCCGGTCAATCCATTGTCCTGTTCCGGCGCACCGATTCCTCCGTATCGGTCGGATCGGCGAAATACTCCATTTCACGCTCGAACTCCAGCTCCTCGGGAGACGGCGGCGGCGGGCGGCGGCGGTTCGTCCGGCTCGATGCGCACCTGCCGGTAATATTCGAAGCCGGTGCCGGCCGGAATCAGCCGCCCCATCGTGACGTTTTCCTTCAGGCCCCTCAGGTGGTCGACGCGACCCGAGATGGACGCCTCCGTCAGCACGCGGGTCGTCTCCTGGAACGACGCGGCCGAAATGAACGAATCGGTCGACAGCGAGGCTTTCGTGATGCCCAGCAGCATTGGCCGGCCGGTAGCGGGACGGCTTCCGTCGGTGATAACCCGTTCGTTCTCCCGCAGGAAACGGACCTTGTCGACCTGCTCGTCGACGAGGAATTCGGTGTCGCCCACGTCCTCCACCCGCACCCAACGCATCATCTGGCGCACCATCACCTCGATGTGCTTGTCGTTGATGTTGACGCCCTGGAGGCGGTACACCTCCTGAATCTCGTTGACCAGGTAGCCCTGCAGTGCCTTCTCGCCCAGCACGCTGAGGATGTCGTGCGGATTGCTCGGACCGTCCATCAGCGGCTCACCGGCCTGCACGCGGTCGCCCTCCTGCACGTTGACATGCACGCCGCGCGGCAACGAATACTTGCGGCTATCGGCGCCCGCTTCTTCGGGCACGATCTCGATCTCGCGCATCCCCTTGACGACGCCGCCGTGCTTGACTATTCCGTCGATCTCGCTGATCACGGCGGTCTCGCGCGGCTTGCGCGCCTCGAACAGCTCGACCACGCGCGGCAGACCGCCCGTAATGTCCTTCGTCTTGGTCGTCTCGCGCGGAATCTTGGCCACACGTCGCCGGCATCGACGCGTCGCCGTCGACGACCATCAGGTGCGCGTGGGACGGCACGTGGTACTTCCGCAGAATCTTGCCGTCCTCGCCGCGAATCTCGACGGTCGGCTGCTTCTTCTCGTCCGCCGAGTCCATGATGATCAGGCGCATGAGGCCGGTGACCTCGTCCACCTCCTCATGCACCGTCAAGCCTTCGATGATGTCCTTGAAGCGCACCGTCCCCCGCTGCTCGGTGAGGATCGAGAACGTATACGGATCCCACTCGACCAGGACTGGCCCGGCTCCACGTGCTGGCCGTCGTTGACCCGCAGATGCGCGCCATACACGACCGCATACCGCTCGCGGTCGCGCCCCTTGGCATCCTCGATGACCACCGAGCCGGTCCGGTTCATGACCACCAGGGATCCGTCCTGTTTGCGGACCACCTGAATCCCGTGGAACTTCGCCGTTCCGGCGTGCTTGGATTCGAGGGTGGACTGCTCGGATACCCGCGACGCGGTGCCGCCGATATGGAACGTCCGCATCGTCAGCTGCGTCCGGGCTCGCCGATTGACTGCGCGGCAATCACGCCCACGGCGAGACCGAGCTCGACCAGCCGGCCGGTCGCCAGGTCGCGGCCATAGCAGCGGCCGCAGACGCCGCGCTGGGACTCGCAGGTGAGCACCGACCGGATCTTCACCTTCTCGATGCCGGCGTCCTGTATCTGCGCGGCCAGCTCCTCCGTGATTTCCTGGTTCTCGTCGGCGATCAGCTCGTTCGTGAACGGATCGCGCACCTGCTCCGCCGCGCCGTCACACGCCCCATGATCCGGTCGCGCAGCGGCTCGATGATTTCGCCGCTCTCGACGATCGGCTTCGACTCGATCCCGTCCACCGTGTGGCAGTCGAGCTCCGAGATGATCACGTCCTGGGCGACGTCAACGAGGCGCCGCGTCAGATAACCCGAATCGGCCGTCTTCAGCGCGGTATCCGCCAGTCCCTTCCGGGCGCCGTGCGTCGAGATGAAGTACTGCAACACCGTGAGGCCTTCGCGGAAGTTCGACGTGATCGGGGTCTCGATGATCTCGCCGGACGGCTTGGCCATCAGCCCGCGCATCCCGGCGAGCTGGCGGATCTGCTGCTTGCTGCCCCGCGCGCCGGAGTCCGCCATGATGTAGACCGGGTTGAAACCGCGGCCGGAGACTGTCGAGCTCCTCCATCTCGCCGAACATCGCGTCGGCAATCTTCTCCGTCACGTCCGACCAGATCGCAATGACCTTGTTCTTGCGCTCACCGTTGGTGATGGCGCCGTCCAGGTACTGCTGCTCGACCTTGATGACCTCATCGCTGGCGCTCTGCACGAGCGCGCCCTTCTCCTGCGGGATGACGAGGTCGTCGATGCCGATCGACAGGCCCGACTTGGTGGCGTACAGGAAACCGATGTCCTTCAGGCGGTCGAGCATCGAGACCGTCCGCTCGAGCCCGTGCCGCAGGTAGTAGTACTGCACGAGCTGCTGCTGGCCCTTCTTCTTGAGGAGGCCGTTGATGAACGGCGTGCCGTCCGGCAAGGCATCGTTCAACACCACGCGGCCGACGGTCGTTTCGATGATCTTGCCGTCCAGCGTCTCGACCGGCGCATGCAGCAGGTCCTGATCGTCGCGCGTGACGTGAGGTCCATGAACTCGCCGCTCAGCGCAGCCGAATCGGCGTCAAGGTCTCCACGTCGCCCGCATCGAGCGCCAGGAGCACGTCGTCCGCCGAGCCGAACAGGCGGTTCGCCCCCTTGGCGCCCGTCTTGCTCTTGGTCAGGTAGTACACGCCGATCACGATGTCCTGCGACGGCACCGTGATCGGGCGCGCCGTTGGAGGGCGACATGATGTTGTTCGACGACATCATCAGCACGGAGGCTTCGATCTGCGCCTCCGGCGAGAGCGGCACGTGCACCGCCATCTGGTCGCCGTCGAAATCGGCGTTGAACGCCGTGCAGACGAGCGGATGGATCCGAATCGCCTTGCCCTCGACCAGCATCGGCTCGAACGCCTGAATGCCGAGGCGGTGGAGCGTCGGGGCGCGGTTCAGCAGCACGGGATGCTCGCGGATCACCTCCTCGAGGATGTCCCACACCTCCGGCTCGTGCTGCTCGACCATCTCCTTGGCCTGCTTGATGGTCGTCACCAGACCGCGTTCCTCGAGCTTGTTGTAGATGAACGGCTTGAACAGCTCGAGCGCCATCTTCTTGGGCAGGCCGCACTGGTGCAGCTTCAACTCGGGGCCGACGACGATGACCGAACGGCCGGAATAGTCGACGCGCTTGCCGAGCAGGTTCTGGCGGAAACGCCCCTGCTTGCCCTTGAGCGTGTCGGAGAGCGACTTGAGCGGCCGGTTGTTCGCCCCGCGCAGCACGCGCCCGCGGCGGCCGTTGTCGAACAGCGCGTCGACCGCCTCCTGGAGCATCCGCTTCTCGTTGCGGATGATCACGTCCGGCGCCTTCAGCTCGATCAGCTTCTTCAGGCGGTTGTTCCGGTTGATCACGCGCCGGTACAGATCGTTGAGGTCGGACGTGGCGAACCGTCCCGCCGTCGAGCGGCACGAGCGGTCGCAGCTCCGGCGGAATCACCGGAATCACGTCGAGGATCATCCACTCGGGCCGGTTCGTCGACGGTGGAACGAATCGACGACCTTCAGCCGCTTCGCCAGCTTCAACGTCTTCTGGGCCGATGTCTCAGCGCGCATCCGGACGCGCAATTCCACCGCGAGCTGCTCGATGTCGACGCGCTTGAGCAGCTCCTTGATCGCCTCCGCCCCCATGCGCGCCCTGAACTTGGGACCATGCTCCTCGCGCGCCTTGCGGTACTGCTCCTCCGTCAGGAGCTGATTCGGCTTGAATTCGCCGTCTCCCGGCGAGATCACCACGTACGCTTCGAAGTACAGGATTCGCTCGAGATCGCGGAGCGAGATGTCGAGGAGGTGGCCGATGCGGCTGGGCAGCCCCTTGAAGAACCAGACGTGGCTGACTGGCGTGGCGAGCTGGATATGCCCCAGGCGTTCCCGGCGCACCTTCGCCTGCGTGACCTCGACGCCGCACTTGTCGCAGATGACGCCGCGATGCTTCATCCGCTTGTACTTGCCGCACAGGCATTCCCAGTCCGTGACCGGGCCGAAGATCTTCGCGCAGAACAGCCCGTCGCGCTCCGGCTTGAACGTGCGGTAGTTGATCGTCTCCGGTTTGGTCACCTGGCCGTGGGACCACGAAAGAATCTTCTCCGGCGAGGCCAGACTGATACGAATCGCGTCGAAATCAACCGTCAGCGATCCCCGGTCTGCGTAGCTTGGTCGCATGAAGTCCCTCGTCTCAAGATTCATGGTCATACCGTTTCGGGCGGCGCGCCTTCGAGTACCGGCTCCGCTTCCGCCTCCTCGGCCGGCGCCGGGATCCCGACCGGGCGCCGCGTCTTGATGAGGTCGACGTCCAGGCAGAGCGCCTGGAGCTCACGAATAAGCACGTTGAACGACTCGGGCAACCCGGGCGTAAACGATGCATCGCCCTTGACGATTGCCTCGTAGATCTTGGCCCGGCCGGTGACGTCGTCCGACTTGGCGGTGAGCAGCTCCTGGAGGATGTGGGCGGCGCCGTACGCCTCCAGCGCCCACACTTCCATCTCGCCGAAGCGCTGTCCGCCGAACTGCGCCTTGCCGCCCAGCGGTTGCTGGGTGATGAGCGAGTACGGCCCGATCGACCGGGCGTGCAGCTTGTCGTCGACCAGGTGCGACAGCTTCAGCATGTAGATGTAGCCAACCGTCACCCGCTGCTCGAACGGCTCGCCGGTCATGCCGTCGTACAACGTCGTCTTGCCGCTCCTCGGGAGCCCTGCCTCCTCGAGCCAGTGCTTGATCTCCTGTTCGTTTGCACCGTCGAACACCGGCGACGCGAAGTGGAGGCCGAGCGCCTGTGCCGCCCATCCCAGATGCGTCTCGAGGATCTGCCCGACATTCATCCGCGACGGCACGCCTAGCGGATTGAGCACAATCTCAACCGGGGTGCCGTCCGGGAGGCGCGGCATGTCCTCTTCGGGCAGCACTCGGGCGATGACACCCTTGTTGCCATGGCGACCGGCCATCTTGTCGCCCACCGACAACTTGCGCTTCATGGCGACGAACACCTTGACCAGCTTGATCACCCCCGGCGGCAGCTCGTCACCCCGCCGAATCTTTTCCTTCTTCTTCTCGAACAGCTGGGAGATCACCTCCACCTGCCGCTCGGTTCGTTCCTCCAGCTGGCGGATGGCGACCTTCAATGCGCTGGCGCCGACGAGCCGCACACGGGCCAGTTCGAGATAGCCGCGCTCGGCAATCACCTCGGGCGTCAGCGCGGTGCCCTTGGGGAGCAGAACCTCCGTGCCGTGCTCATCGAACAGGTCCGCGGCCAGCTTCTGACCCTCAATCATCGTGCCGAGCCGCTTCTTGACCTCGTCGTGCAGGATCCGAACCTCGTCCTGCAGGTTCTTCTCCATCATGTCGAGCTCTTCGGCCTCGATCGCCTTCGCCCGTTCGTCCTTCTCGATCCCCTTGCGCGAGAAGATCTTTACGCCGACGATGATGCCCTCGATGCCGGGCGGGCACACGAGCGACGCATCACGCACATCCCCGGCCTTCTCCCCGAAGATGGCGCGCAGGAGCTTCTCCTCCGGAGTGAGCTGGGTTTCGCCCTTGGGCGTCACCTTGCCGACCAGGATGTCACCCGGCTTGACCGAAGTGCCGATCCGGATGATCCCGCTCTCGTCCAGATCGTTCAGAAAGCCCTCCGACACGTTCGGGATGTCGCGCGTGATCTCCTCCGGGCCCAGCTTCGTGTCGCGCGACTCGATGTCGAACTCCTCGATGTGGATCGACGTGTAGTAGTCGTCCTTGACCAATCGCTCCGAAACCAGGATGGCGTCCTCGAAGTTGTAGCCGCGCCAGGGCATGAACGCCCCCAGGACATTGCGGCCGAGCGCCAACTCGCCGAGCTCGGTGCACGGCCCGTCCCCCAGTACCTGCCCCTTGTTCACCCTCGCGCCGACGGGCACTATCGGTTTCTGGTTGATACAGGTGTTCTGGTTGGAGCGGCGGAACTTTGTCAGGTTGTAGATGTCCGCGCCCAGATCCTTCGATGCGTCGCCGGCGTCCGCGCCTTCCACACGGACGACAATCCGCTGGGAGTCGACGTAGTCCACGGTGCCCGGGCGCCGGGCGACGACAACCGCACCGGAATCACGCGCGGCAATATGCTCCATCCCGGTGCCCACGTACGGCGCGCGCGCACGCAGCAGCGGCACCGCCTGGCGCTGCATGTTCGATCCCATCAGCGCCCGGTTCGCGTCGTCGTTCTCGAGGAACGGGACCAGCGAGGCGGCCACCGAGACCAGCTGCTTCGGCGATACGTCGATGAAGTCGACGTTCTCGCGCGGGGCGAGCACGAAGTTGCCTGCCTGCCGGCAATTGATCCGCGGGTTGACGAGGTTGCCCCGGTCGTCGATCTTCGCGTTCGCCTGCGCGATGATGTAGCGGTCTTCCTCCCAGGCGGACAGGTAGAACGAGTGCGGCACGAACTCCGCCGCCCGCTTCTTGCGCGTCTTGGCGTTGGCGTTCGCTTCGGCGACGGCGTCCGCGTTGACGATCTCCCCCAACTTGAACTTCGTGCCGCCGCCGTTGGTGATGCGCACATAGTCGATGGCCCGTCCGGTCTCGACCCGGCGGTAGGGCGACTCGATGAAGCCGAATTCGTTGATCCGCGCGTAGCAGGACAGCGATGAGATCAACCCGATGTTGGGCCCTTCCGGAGTCTCGATGGGACAGATCCGGCCGTAGTGCGTCGGATGCACGTCCCTGACCTCGAAGCCGGCCCGCTCCCGCGACAGACCGCCCGGACCGAGCGCCGAGAGCCGGCGCTTGTGGGTGATCTCCGACAGCGGGTTCGTCTGGTCCATGAACTGCGAGAGCTGCGAGGAACCGAAGAACTCCCGGATGGCCGCCATCACCGGCTTCGCGTTGATCAGGTCATGGGGCATTGCCGTCGCCATTTCCTGATACACGGACATCTTTTCCTTGATGGCGCGCTCCATGCGGACCAGGCCGATACGGAACTGGTTCTCGAGCAGCTCGCCGACCGACCGCACGCGGCGGTTGCCGAGATGGTCGATGTCGTCGACGTTCGTGGGATTCCGCCGCAGCTTCAGCAGGTACTTGATTACCTCGTAGAAGTCCTGCGGGCTGAGCACCTTCTCGTCGAGCGGGGTGTCGAATCCGAGCTTCGTGTTCAGCTTGAGCCGGCCGACGCGCGAGAAGTCGTACTTCTGCGCGTTGAAGAACATGTTCTCGAACAGCGATCGGGAACTGTCCGGCGTGGGCGGATCTCCCGGCCGCAGCCGGCGATAAATCTCGATTAGCGCTTCCTCGTGCGTCCGGATCGGATCCTTTTTCAAGGTCGTGGACAGGACGGTGCCGAGCTCGTCGCGATCGGGGAAGAAGACCTCGATCTCGCCGACCTCCTTTTCCTGCGCTTCCGAGACGACCCGCGGCGTGACTTCCTCGTTTGCCTCGAGCACGACCTCACCAGTCGCCGGTCGACCACGTCCGCCGCCGTATACGCCCTTCCAGCTCGGTGTCGGCCACCGCGACCCACTCGACGCCCGCGGCCTGCAGCGCCCGGCAGGACGTGCGCGTGATCCGTTTGCCGCCGCGCAAGAGGACCGCACCGTCCTTCCCCTCCACGCCCGCCGCGGCGCGCAGCCCGACCAGCTTCTCGCTGACGGCCCACTTCAGCGCCCGTTCCTTCACGGAGATCCGGTGGACCGGGTGGAAGGTCTTGATGATCTCCTCGGCGCTGCGGAGGCCGAGCGCCCGGAGAAACACCGTTGCCAGGAACTTTCGCTTTGCGGTCGATGCGGACGTAGAGCAGGTTCTTCGCGTCGTACTCGAACTCGACCCACGATCCGCGGTACGGAATGATCTGCGCGACGAAGAGCGCCTTGTCCTCGGAGTGGAAGAACGCCCCCGGGGAACGGTGCAGCTGGGAGACGATGACCCGCTCGGTCCCGTTGATGATGAAGGTGCCGTTCTCGGTCATCAGCGGGATGTCGCCGAAGTACACCTCCTGCTCCTTGATGTCGCGAATCGTCTTGACGCCGGTTTCGGCGCTCTTGTTCCAGACGACCAGGCGGATGGCGACCTTCAGCGGCACGGCGTACGTCATGCCGCGCTCCTGGCATTCCTCTACGTCGTAGTTCAGCTTGATGTCGACTCCGCCGCCGCAGATGTCGCACGCCTCGCCCCGCACCCGGACGGTATGGCCGCACGAGTGGCAGATGACCTCATGCTCGCCAAGGGACTCGATCTCCATCACCGCATCGCACTTCGTGCACGGCCGGCGAAGATGATGCAGACCCGACAGCCGGCCGCACTTGCACTCCCAGCTTCCGATCGAATAGTCGATGAACTCGAGCGACGAGTTCTCCCGGAAGTCGCTGATGGGAAAAACCGACTTGAACACCGACTGGAGCCCGATGTCGTCGCGCTCCGACTGCAGCCGGTTCATCTGCAGGAAGCGCTCGTACGATTTCTTCTGGATCTCGATCAGGTTGGGAATCGGAACGGTCGTTCGAATCTTCGAAAAGTTGATCCGTTTGCGATGGACGTTCTCAGAGAGGCTGTTCACAGCTGAATCCCTCGTGGATCGATGCGGTGACCGTGGGCGCCCGGGCAGCGCATGTACGCCGCCGGGGCCCGGCAGACTAGTGCCTCAGACAACCATCCGGACGCACGGGTCCGACTGGCAGCCCGCGAGCCGAAAATTCCGGCTCTCCGTCACTTGATCTCGACCGTGGCGCCGACGCCCTCGAACTTCTTCTTGATGGTCTCGGCCTCGTCCTTGGGAATCTCCTCCCTGACCGCCTTCGGGGCGCCCTCCACCAGGTCCTTGGCTTCCTTCAACCCGAGGCTGGTAACTTCGCGCACCACCTTGATGACGTTGATCTTCCTGGGGCCGATCTCGGTCAGCATGACGGTGAACTCCGTCTGCTCCTCGGCCTCGGCCGGGGCCGCGCCCGCCGCCGCACCGGCCACCGCGACCGGCATGGCTGCCGCCGCCGACACGCCGAGCTCTTCTTCCAGGGTCTTGACGAGCCGCGACAACTCGAGAACGGAAATGCCCTTGACGTATTCGACAACCTGCTCCTGCGTCACCTCAGCCATCGTTGCTCCCTCTCTTTTTCTCTGCCTGCGCCAGCACACTCACCAGATTGCGCGGCACGGCGCCCAGTACCTGCACGAGCTGCGTCGCCGGCGCATTCAGCACCGCGAGCAGCTTTGCCTGCATCTCCTGCTTCGGCGGAAGCTCCGCGAGCGCCTTGACGGCGTCCGGCTGGATCTCCTCACCCTCCACCACCGCGGCCTTGACCTTCAGCTCCGGCGCGGTCTTCGTGAATGCAACCAGCGTCTTGGCGAGCGCGACGGGATCCGCGCTGCTGTAGGCGACCGCGGTCGCCCCGCGAAAGTGCGGGCTCAGCACCTCGTGCGGCGTGCCCTCGACGGCCCGCCTGGCCAGGCGATTCTTGACCACGCGGTACTGCGCGGTCGCCAACTGGATCTGGCGCGCGCAGCTCGGTGGTCTGCGGAACGTCAAGCCCCTGGAAGTCGAGCAGCACGACGTGTCCGGCGCCGCCGAGTTCCTTCGACAGTAGCGCGACCTGCTCTTCTTTCTGGATTCGTGAAATCGCCATGAATCGACTCGCCTGTCCTGACCAGCGCCGGCAGCTATGACCGCGTGGCCATCTCGACGCCGGTACTATCGATACGCACCCCCGGCCCCATCGTTGACGACACCGTGATGCTCCTTAGATACCGGCCCTTCGCCGCCGCGGGCTTGGCGCTTATCACGCTCGTCGCCAGTGCGTACGCGTTGGCGACGAGCGACTCCGCGGCGAACGACGCCTTGCCGATCGGGCGTTGGACCACGCCGGCCTTGTCGACGCGATACGCGACCTTGCCCGCCTTGATCTCGCCCACCGCCTTCGCCACCGCCGTGGTGACGGTGCCGGTCTTCGGATTGGGCATCAACCCGCGCGGTCCCAGAATGCGCCCCAGCTTGCCGACCGCGCGCATCATGTCCGGCGTGGCTACGACCGCATCGAAACCCATCCAGCCGCCCTGGATCTTCGCCACCAGTTCCTCGCCGCCGACCGTGTCGGCGCCGGCGTCCGTGGCTTCCTGCTGCCTGTCGGGACCCGCGATGACCAGCACCCGCTTGCTGCGTCCGAGCCCATGCGGCAGCACGACGGTTCCGCGCACCATCTGGTCCGCGTGCTTGGGATTGACGCCGAGGCGCATGGCCATCTCGACAGATTCGTCGAAATTCGCGAACCGGATGCTCTGGACCAGCGCGATGGCGTCCTCCAGCGAGTAGAGCCGGGACTCCACCTTGGCCTGCGCCGTATCGAAACTTCTTGCCGTTTCGTGTCATAAACTCGCCCCGCGCGAACCGCCCGCCCTGCTAGGACTCGACGTCGATGCCCATCGACCGTGCCGTGCCCGCTACGGTTCTGACCGCCATCTCCAGGCTCCCGCAGTTCAGATCCGGCATCTTCGTTCTGGCAATCTCCTCGACCTGCTGCCTGGTAACCGTGCCCACCTTCGACCGGTTCGGCTCCCCCGAGCCCTTGGCGATGTTCGCCGCGCGCTTGAGCAGCACGGCGGCCGGCGGCGTCTTGGTGATGAAGCTGTACGAGCGGTCCTGATAGACGGTCACGACCGCCGGAATGATCAGCCCCTCCTGCGCAGCGGTCTTGGCGTTGAACGCCTTGCAGAAGTCCATGATGTTGACGCCGTGTGGGCCGAGCGCGGTGCCGACCGGCGGCGCCGGGGTCGCCTTGCCGGCGGCGATCTGCAGCTTGACCTGACCGATGACCTTTTTCACTAGATCTTCTCCACCTGCAGGAAATCGAGCTCGACGGGAGTCGCGCGGCCGAAGATCGTCACCATGACCTTCACGGTATTGCGATCGATGTTCACCTCATCCACCACGCCGTTGAAGCTGGTGAACGGGCCCTCGTTGATCCGCACCTGGTCACCGTGATCGAAGGAGTACTTCGGCTTCGGTTTCTCGGCGGCCACCGTGACCTGATGCAGGATCTGATCGACCTCCTCCCGGGTCAGCGGCGTCGGCTGCGAGCCGGCCCCCACGAAGCCGGTGACCTTGGGCGTGTTCTTGACGACGTGCCACGCGTCGTCCGACATCTGCATCTCGATCAGGATGTAGCCGGGGAAGAACGCTTCGAGCTGACCACCTTCTTGCCGCCGCGCATCTCCACGACGTCCTCGGTGGGAATCAGAATCTCGCCAATCTCGTTCTGCAGTCCGTAGGCCTGCACCCGCTGTTGGAGAGACTCGGATACTTTCTTCTCGAATCCCGAGTAGGTGTGCACGATGTACCACTGCTTCGTACTAACGTCCGTCATGACGCACCGAATGTCGTGAATATCAGTCTCGCCACTCTGTCGAACACCAGATCGGCACTCCACAGATACACGCCGAACATGATCGAGGTCAGGATCACCACAACGTGGTGGCCTGAACCTCCTTCCACGAGGGCCACGTGACGCGCGTAAGCTCGTTCTGCACTTGGGCCAGGAACGTCCGCGCGCGCCCGTACCACCCGCCGGACTCTTCTCGCGCGCCCTGTCCAGCGTTGCCGATTTCACCATGGTTGTTTCCGCACGCCACTGGCAGGCCAGGAGGGACTCGAACCCCCAGCCCCCGGTTTTGGAGACCGGTGCTCTACCAGTTGAGCTACTGGCCTGTACCCCCGCGCCTTACTTGGTCTCCCGATGCGCAAATGTGCCGGCGACACCACCGGCAGTACTTCTTCAACTCGAGACGTTCCGGTGTCTTGCGCTTGTTTTTGCGTCGTGTTGTACGTGCGCCGCTTGCATTCGGTGCACGCCAGAATAATGATGTCGCGCACTGGACTCCTGCTCTCTTTTTCGGCTCCGGCGTCCGGTTACTCGATGATTTCGGTGATCGTCCCCGAGCCTACCGTCCGCCCGCCTTCGCGTATCGCGAACCGCAGCCCCTTCTCCAGCGCCACCGGCGTTATCAGCTCCACGCTGATCGCCACGTTGTCGCCGGGCATCACCATCTCCACCCCGTCGGGCAACGTCGCCACCCCCGTCACGTCCGTCGTGCGCAGGTAGAACTGCGGCCGATACCCGTTGAAGAACGGCGTGTGCCGGCCACCCTCGTCCTTCGTCAGCACATACACCTCGCCGCGGAACTTCGTGTGCGGCGTGATCGACTTCGGATTCGCCAACACCTGCCCGCGCTCCACGTCGTCCTTCTCCGTGCCGCGCAGCAGCACCCCGATGTTGTCGCCCGCCTCCCCCGCATCGAGCAGCTTCCGGAACATCTCAACGCCCGTCACCACCTTCTTCTGCGTCGGGCTGAAGCCCACTATCTCGATCTCCTCGCCGACCGTCACCTTCCCGCGCTCCACGCGGCCCGTCACCACCGTCCCCCGGCCCAAAATCGAGAACACATCCTCGATCGGCATCAGAAACGGCTTGTCCACGTCCCGCTCAGGCAGCGGAACATACGAGTCCACCGCCGCCATCAGCTCCCGGATAGACGCCTCCGCCGCGGTGTCCCCCTCGAGCGCCTGCAGCGCAGAACCCTGGATCACCGGCAGGTCGTCGCCGGGAAACTCATACGAACTCAGCAGCTCCCGAACCTCCAGCTCGACCAGCTCCAACAGCTCCGGGTCGTCCACCGCGTCACACTTGTTCAGAAACACCACCAGCGACGGAACCCCAACCTGGCGCGCCAGAAGAATGTGCTCCCGCGTCTGCGGCATCGGACCGTCCGTCGCCGCCACCACCAGAATCGCGCCGTCCATCTGCGCCGCGCCCGTGATCATGTTCTTGATGTAGTCCGCGTGGCCAGGACAGTCCACGTGCGCGTAGTGCCGGTTCTCCGTCTGATACTCCACGTGCGCCGTCGCGATCGTGATCCCGCGCTCGCGCTCTTCCGGCGCGTTGTCGATCGAGTCGAAGCTCCGTATCTCGTTCTTCTTGTCGTTCTTCGCCAACACCGACGTGATCGCCGCCGTCAGTGTCGTCTTCCCGTGATCAATGTGTCCGATCGTGCCGATGTTCACGTGCGGCTTCGACCGATCAAATTTCTCTTTCGCCATCTGTGTACTCTCCGCGCCGGAGGAGATTCATGTTGTTCCCCATCCCGCACCCGATCCGTCATGCCGCACCCGTTTCGCCCGGCGACGCGCAGGACAGGGTGTAGAAGTCTGGAGCCGATGACCGGGATTGAACCGGTGACCTCGTCCTTACCAAGGACGCGCTCTGCCAACTGAGCTACATCGGCACGCTCTGGTAACGCTCACGCACCGCACCGCAAAACCTGGAGCGGGAGACGGGGATCGAACCCGCGACCAACAGCTTGGAAGGCTGTGACTCTACCACTGAGTTACTCCCGCCTTCATATCGATCCACAAAGAAAATTGGTGGCGAGGGGAGGATTCGAACCTCCGAAGCCACTTGGGCGACAGATTTACAGTCTGTTGCGTTTGACCGCTCCGCAACCTCGCCGACCTCCGCACTCCGCCAGTGTCTGGCGACCCCGCTCGCCAGACGGTCCAACCGCCGGCAACCGGTTATTCGATCGATCTGAAACAGCCTGTGTACTACGTCGGATAGCGCCGGGCACAACGGGATGTTCGCCATGTGGCAGCCCGTGGCGGAAGCCCCGCTGCATTCGACGGGCCATGCATCCCTTACCACTTGGGGCTGCGCCCCAAACCCCCGGCGGCCGCTAGCGGGGACCCCTGCGCCCCGCGCCGCGTCCGCCGAGGCGCACTGTGTGCGGCATTTCCTCTTGGGGCTGCGCCCCAAACCCCCGGCGGCCGCTAGCGGGGACCCCTGCGCCCCGCGCCGCGTCCGCCGAGGCGCACTGTGTACGCCTTGGGGGACGACTGCTTGAATGCTCGTCGTCTCCCTTCCTGAGCTGCGTTGTGCCTCGGTCACGTATCTTCGAATATGCTCCCTCGTCACGCCTTGTCAGCCAGGCGCCTGACCGGTCTCGGTGCGACGCGGGGTTCCACCACGGGCTGCTGGAGCTGGCGAAGGGATTCGAACCCCCGACCCGCTGATTACAAATCAGCTGCTCTACCGGACTGAGCTACGCCAGCCGCGCAAACTCGTGACTATAGCACATGCTGACCGTCAGTGGTCGGCGGAAGTCGCCTCCATCCGCTGGCGCAGCGCCTCGAACAGTGCGATGCCCGCCGCCACCGACACATTCAGACTCTCCACGCGCCCCCGCATCGGGACGGACGCCAGCCAGTCGCAGCGCTCACGCACCAGCCGCCGCAGTCCACGCCCCTCGCTCCCACCACCAGCGCGATCCGCCCGGTCAGGTCCAGCTGGTGATAGGGCTGCGTAGCGTTCTGGTCCAGTCCGACGGTCCACACGCCGGCGCCCCGCAGCTCGTCGAGCGCCCGGCTCACGTTGACGACCGGCGCGCGCCGCAGGTGCGCCAGCGCACCTGCGGAAGCCTTCTGCGCCGTAGCCCCCACCGGCGCGGATCGTCGTGTCTGATGAATCAGCCCGTCCACGCCCGCCGCTTCCGCCGTGCGGGCCACCGCGCCGAAGTTGCGGGGATCCTCGATCCCGTCGAGCACGATGAGAAGCGGGGCTGCAACGTCCCGTATCAGATCCTGCACGGCGCACGGAGGCGAAGCGACGATGTCGGCAGCCACGCCCTGGTGTGCCGCGCCCGGCGCCAACCGCTCGAGCTCGGCCGCCTCCAGATGCTGCACCGCGACGCCGGCGCGGCGGGCGAGGTCGACGAGTCGGGCCACGCGCGCACCGGCGACACTCGTCCAGATTCTCGAAACCGTGCCGGCACGCACGCCTCCGTTGTGGGATTGATGCCGTAGATAAGCATTTGTTACTCGGGGCTGCGCCCCGAACCCCCGGCCCGCACTAGCGGGGTCCCCGTAGCCCCGCGCCGTGCGGGCCGGGCCGCGCTGTGCGCGGCCTGGGCAGCCCTTGTCAGAAACCCCGCTGCATTCGACCGGCCGTCGGCATTACCACTTGGGGCTGCGCCCCAAACCCCCGGCGGCCGCTAGCGGGGACCCCTTCGCCCCCAGCCGCGTCCGCCGAGGCGCACTGGGTGCGCCTTGGGGACGACGCGCGATGCTCGTCGCCCCCTTCCCGACTGCGGCGGTCCTCGGTCACATATCTCCGAGCATGCTCCCTCGTCACGCCTTGTCGGCCGGGCGCACCAGGGTCGCGGCCGCATGCACGACGAGCGCCTCGCCGCGGCCCACCTCACCCACGCCTTCGCTGGTCTTGCCCTTGACGGAAACGCGATCCGGCGCAACCAGCAGCGCATCCCCCAGACGATGCCGCATCTCCTCCGCGACCGCGCGAATCTTCGGCCGCTCGGTCACGACGACGACGTCCACGTTGCCGACCGCGAACCCCAGATTGCGGACCGCTTCCATGGCGTTGCGCAGCAACTCGATGCTCGAAGCACCCTGCCACCGCTCATCGTCGTCCGGGAATCGCTGTCCGACGTCACCGGCGGCGGCGGCGCCGAGCACCGCGTCAGTAACCGCATGACAAACGGCGTCGGCGTCGGAATGGCCGAGTAGGCCCCGCGAGCCCGGAATGGAAACGCCACCGAGCACCAGCGGGCGTCCCTCGACGAACCGGTGCAGGTCATATCCGAGGCCGATTCTTGTCTCGACCGGTCCGGATGACACCATCTGTTCGGCGAGAGACAGGTCGTACTGGCTGGTCACCTTGAAATTGCGCACCTCGCCCTGCACCACGCGAACCGGGTGGCCGGCGCGCTCGACAAGCGTGGCTTCGTCCGTCGCTTCCACCCCGTCGCCGCCGCGCGCTACTGCGTCCCGTAGCACGTCGACGCGGAAAGCCTGCGGCGTCTGGACCAGAAAGATCCGCTCGCGCGGCAGCGTCGAGCTGACCAACGTCGCGCCATCCTCGATGCGCGCCTCCTTCACCGTATCGAACGCCGGAAGCGCCGCCGTCGCGGCGCCGCATGCGGTTGCCGCGGCGATGGTCCTGCCGATCAGCCCGGGCGTGCAGAACGGCCGGGCCGCGTCGTGAATCACGACGATTTCAGTCTCGGGCGCGACGGCCGCGAGGCCGGCCGCCACCGAATCCTGACGGCGCGCGCCGCCCGTGACCAGGCGGACCGGCGTTCGGATGCGGCGCACCAGGTCGGGCGGCGACGCCAGCAGCTCGGCCGGCAGCACGAGGACAATCTCACCGATCCGCTCGCTGGCGTCGAACGGCGCGATGCTCCGCTCCAGCAGCGTCCGCCCGCCGACGATCCGGAGCTGCTTGTGCACCGGGCCGCCCAGCCGCTCACCCCTTCCCCCCGCGGCAATGATGGCTGATATCTGCACCGGCATGCTCCACCGCACGGCTCCCGATCGGATGCCGTCGGCCGTCAGGCGGCTTTCCGCTCCACGATGTCCCGGGTCCGATCCGCCAGAATGCGCGCGCCGTCGCGGCTCATCCCGCTTGTCTGGATCGGCTCGTGGACAATCACGTCCACATTTCCTGGGCAGGTCCTCAGGCGTCCCTTCGCATCACATGGCGACTGCCGGCAACCGACACCGGCACGACCGGCAATCCCGCATCGATGGCCATCAGAAACAGTCCCGCTTGAACGGCCCCACGTGGCCGTCCCGGCTCCGCGTGCCCTCCGGAAAAACGATGAGCGACCGGCCTCCGTCCATCAGCTCGGCCACCTGCGCCAGCGTCGCGGCGCCGGCCCGGTCCCTGTCAACAAGCAGGTGTCCCGTGTAGCGCAGGTGCCAGCCCAGCACCGGAAAACGGCCGAGGGAAGACTTGGCGATGATGCGCAACTGGAACGGCAACGTCCAGAACAGAATCGGAATGTCATAGATGCTCTGGTGGTTCGACACGAATACGTAGGCGCGTCTCGCGGCAGGCGATCAAGACCCTCCACACGGACGCGCACCCTCGTCGTCAGCAGAATCAGGCGTGACCAGGCGCGGGCGCAACGGTGGGCTGTATTGCCGCTGCGATCCACCAGGCCGGACGCCAGAGACAGGCAGCCGAGCACAATGGTATAGACGCTGATCGCCGGAATCAGCCAGAAGACGGTGCGCCACCAATGAAACGGAGGGAGCATCTAGTCGAGCAACGCCTCCAGCGCCTCCCCGACGGTGCCGACCCCCACCTGCTCGCAGGCCCCGCCGTCGGCCACCGGCGCGCAATTGCTGCCCGGCATGACGCAGCGCGTGAATCCGAGCTGCGCCGCCTCCCGGAGCCGCAGGCCCGCGCGTACCGCACCGCGCACCTCGCCCGAGAGGCCGACCTCGCCGAACACGACGGTACCGGACCGCACCGGCCGATTGCGCAGGCTGGAAGCCACGGCCGCAATCACCCCCAGGTCGGCCGCCCGGCTCGTTGACGGTCAACCCGCCGGCCATGTTCAGGAACACGTCCTCCCCCGCCAGACTGAGCCCGGCGCGCTTCTCCAGCACCGCCAGCAGCAGCGACAGGCGGTTGTGGTCGAGTCCGCTTGCCGTGCGCCGCGCGGTGCCGTAGGCCCCGCCGCTCACGAGCGCCTGCACCTCGACGAGGATCGGCCGCGACCCTTCGACGGAGCATAGCACCGCCGAGCCCGGCGCATTTGCGACCCGCTCCGCCAGAAACAACTGCGACGGATTGGGGACGCCCCGGAGCCCCGAGCCGGTCATATCGAAGACGCCCAGCTCGCTGACCGCGCCGAAACGGTTCTTCACCGCACGGATCACCCGGTGGGAATGATGCCGCTCCCCTTCGAAGTACAACACGGTATCGACGACATGCTCCAGCACTTTCGGCCCGGCGAGGCTGCCGTCCTTCGTCACGTGCCCCACGAGAAAGATCGGCAGATTCCTGCCCTTGGCGATAAACAGCAGGTCCGCCGCCGCCGTCCGCACCTGGCCGATGCTGCCCGGGGCGGACTGCAGCTTGAGCGAAAAGACCGTCTGAATCGAATCGACAATCAGCACGACCGGCTTGACCCGCTCGGCCTCCTCGACGATCCGTTCCAGGCAGGTCTCCGCCAGCAGATAGAGCGGCGGCGCGCCGAGGCCGAGCCGGTCGCCGCGCATCTTGAGCTGCTGCACGGACTCCTCGCCTGAGGCGTATAACACCGGGCCGAGCGTGCGTGCGACGGCCGCCGCCATCTGTAGCAACAGCGTCGACTTGCCAATGCCCGGTTCGCCGCCCAGCAGCACGGCAGAGCCCGGGACGATCCCGCCGCCCAGCACCCGGTCGAGCTCGCCTATGCCGCTGGCCTGCCGTTCGGCGTCGGCCGTCTCGACCTGGTCGTAGCGCTGCGCCGTGGCGCTCCCGGCCAGGGGCACGCGCCCCGCCGCGACTCCGGCCACGGCAGGCGCCGCCTCCTCCACAAGCGAGTTCCACGCGCCGCAGTCGGGGCATTGCCCGAACCACTTGCGCGCCTGCGCCCCGCAGGCCTGACAGACGAAGAGTGTTCTCAGCTCCTTCATGACGCCGCCGGCTTCCCGGCTTTCGCCGCAGCCGTGTCCGTACCGGAATACACGCGTTCAATCCGGCTGCCGGTGCGGCACAGGATCTCATGCGGCACTGTGCCGATCCAGCCCGCAACCTCGCCGACGCCGATACACTCGCCGCCCTGGGCGCCGACCAGCACCACCTCGTCGCCCGGACTGACGTCCATCTCCGTGACATCGATCAGATTGAATCCATGCTGACCGACCCGGCGATCGGCGCGCGCCGACCGCGGACGAGCACCACGCCAACGCCCGCCATCCGCATGTCGAGCCCGTCCGCGTAGCCGGCCGGAACAACCGCCACGCGCGTCGGCCGGTCGGCCCTGAACCGTGCACCGTAGCCGCACGTCTCTCCGGGACGCATCCCCTTGACCGCGACGATCCGGCTGTGCAAAATGCAACAGACATGACGGCCGGAAGCTGCAGGCGGCCGCGCCGGCACGCACGGCCGGGTGACCCGTACTGCAACAGGCGCGCCGGCGCGTACGGCGTCGAGCCAGGCTGCGGCCGGTTGTCGGAAACAACACGCACGCAGCCACCGCTCACCGACTGTTGGCGGAGTGGAGCGGCGTGGACCCGCAAGCAAGCTCGGACAGCAAACGCCGTCGATGCGTTCGAAACGCTCCTGATGTGCTCGACAGAGGGGCCGGCACGGGACTAATCGGCAGTCGCGAAGTGGGTGTAGATGTAAGATCGCCTCGAAGCGAGATGGGCGGCTGGCAAAGCACGTCCGGCAGCGTCGAGCGCAGGTTGTCATACCGGAATCCGAAGCGGTTCATGCCGGTATCGACCATCAGGTGGCAACGGAGCCGGACATTCGCGCCGCGCCGCCATCTCGTGCAGCGCCCGCGCCGCAGACGGCGACGACACGGTCGGCGTCATCAGCCGGTTGGTGTTCGAACACGCCGCCGAGGTAATGATGCTCAGCCGCAGAATACGAGCACCGGTATCCGAGACCGGCGAGCCCGCAGCTGCCAACCCCTTCCTCGATGTCCGCGCAGGCAACGCATCGCCGCGGAAGGAGTCCTCCACCACCACTGGGGCGCGTGGCACACGGCAACCCGCCAGCACGGTGGACCGTATGCGTTGGCACTTGACGACGGCGTGCAGCCAGGTGTGGTTTGAGCGGCGGAGGGCGGCGCCGCGAAAGAAGCGCGGAAAGCGCGGTGGTAGTTGGGCCTCGGAAGTGCCGATAGTCGACTCTGGTCGCCCGGGGTTCCCGAAGGTCGGGCGGACCAAAGGCTGACGAATTCCGGATTGACGGATCGGCCGTTGATGAGGTTGTCGACGAAGCGCGTGTATGCTTGAGGAACGACACAGTAAGATCCTCACCTCCCGGTAGGCCCATTGCGCTGCTTGCAACGATGAGATCCGGCCACGCCGCCTCATTCTCGGGCTTTTGGGTGTACATCTCCTCGAGGAAAGATGAACATGACCACGGGCATCCCTGATCCCAGCGCGCCCGATTCCGCAGGTAAGAGAGCTGCGGAACGGCCGATCCGCGCGGCGCTTCGTGTTGCGGGCTTTTGAGCTGGGACAACTGCCACCAACGGGCACGTTCAACCCTTGGCGATGAGCCCTTTCGGCTTCGAGAGATCGCAGGCGTCGTATACCTGCGTTGCAGGTTCTCGAAACCGGCGCCGACCCTGACATGGATGGATTGTAGGTCGATGATCACCAGGTCCAGACCGTTGCGTTTCCTTGAGAGATACGACTCTTGGGGCATCTCCAAGCACGTGGATCCCCCGGGGTGTGCTCGACGACGAAAAAAAATGCGGCCGCGTCCTAGCCTGCCAAAGGCAATACGACAGAATGACCAGGAGGTTTTTGTTGTCGCTCAGGCATACAGGTACCGAAGCCAGGTGAGCATCGACGTTCGACTTACGGCGGTTCCAGCATCCGCATGAAGATTTGCTCCTTGGCCATTTCGGGCTGAAGATGCCGGGCAGTCGATCGCCCGCAGTCCCCGACGGCAGGGCCGGATGTGAGGGCAAACGCGTTGTTCCCATCGACGGGCGTGCTTTGCAACGATGACAAGCCGACGGCTGGAGTCCGGCAGTTCATGCGGTCGATTTGTCGGCGGAAACCCGGTCGGGCACCGCCGGTTACCAGCCTTTTGCGCTGGATCCGCTCGGACGGTTTAGAAGCACCTTCACGAGTTCATTCCATCGGACACGAAGCCGCTGTGGATGCGGTCTTGGCGATAGCGCAAGATCTCCCGCTTGGGGACGGTTCGAGCAAGTCGGTCACGGCGTAGGAGGTTAGGTAGGGGAGGAGGAGGTGCGAGAATCCTCAAATTACACCGATTTGTTGGCGAATGGATGAGATTGCGGAGGGGGCCTTTTCCGATCGATTTTGCGCGTATGTGAGCGAGTTGGTAGACAGTGGCACGACGTCGCGCGAGAGCAGCTAGGTACGCCGGCAGAACGATATTATCAGATTCGACCGTTCCGGTAGAGTCATCGCGCAGCGTGACGAGGTCGACCTTCGACGGCTCCGTCGCTCAGGACGATTGATCTTGTGAAGACGCGGAGCATGGGCCGTCGCGATAGAAGTGTCGGCAGGAGAGTTACCGCCCGCACGTTGAATGCCGGTTTTGTGATCAGAATCGAGCCGAGGGACGCAGCGCTCCGCTTCCAGGTTGTGAGGCACCGATTTTCGCTCGGCGGAAGGGTTCGCACCAAAGTATCCATCAGAAAGACACACCAGCGACGCGCGAACGCGCGCGTGCTTCGATCGCGACCCAACGGCAGCAGACGCCGGACCTTGAAACGCAGCTCTAGCCTCCTACGACGGGCTCGGCACCCGCGTCGTCCCCTTTCGATCGACGACAGCGCACGGGGACGTGGTCGTGACGTCGTCGGGATGATCTCGGGACGGCGACAGTGAACTCGCCCAGCTGCTTGATTGGCTCATTCCAGCTGGACAACGGGGAGACGAGGAGAAATCGAATAAAGAGGGCCACGTGCGACAAACGAGACACTCAGCGG